AGCATTTAAAGTAGTATAATTACATAAAAAAAATGTTATCTCACAAAATAACCCAAATATAAAGAAGGTGAAGCTCTAAACATTTCTATCCATCCATCTATCCATTACCCCTTCTTTTATCCCATAAATCAACTTTCAAGGTTTTAAATACTATTTATATACTGAAGATTCTTAAACTTAGTCCAGATTTCTCCCAAGTACTTGGGCAGGACCTGAATACTTAGGCAACAAGTACACTTAGATGTCTAAAAGGCATCTCAAACTTAAAATATTAAAAAAATAAACTCCTGATTTTTCCCTAAACTTTTTCTTCCCATAGTATTCCTCATCTCACTAAATGGCAATCCATTGTTATCATTTTTCCAGACTATAAACCTAAAAATCATCCTTGACTCTCATATACCACATATATTTTTAAAACATATACAAAATCCTACCACTTTCCAACACCTCTACTATTACTCTAGTCCCAGTCTTTCCATCATCTTGTCCTGAATAACTGCCTCCTAACTGACCTTTCTGCTTCTGCCTTTAAAACACCTTCCACTCTCCCATGTCCACTCTCTACAAGCAGCCAGAGTGATTCTTCTAAAACTTGAGTGAAATCAGGTCACTCCTCTACTGAAAAAAATCTGATGACCTCCCATTTCACACAGAGTAAAAGTCAAAGTCCTTAGCATGGTCTCTTCAGGCCTATGAATTGGCTCCCTGTAACCTCTGACCCTATGTCTTCTTTTCACTCACTGTGCTCTAGCTATGCTGGCCTTTTGCTTTTCATAAGTAAGTCATGGCACATTTCCACATCAGGGTCTTTGTAACTGTGTTCCTCCCACCTGCAATACTCCATCCCTATCTTAGCAGCTCAAAACAAATTTTTAATTCTCACAAGTCTGTCAACTAACTAGATGGTTCATCTATTAGTCTAAATTGAGCTCAAGTACAAGCCTGCAATCAGTTGGCAGCGTGGCTGGGGCTGGAGAACCTAAGATGATCTCTCTTCCACATCTCAGACCTTGGTGTTAGCTGTTGGTTGGCCTTCTCTCTCTACTCATAGTCTCCTATAATTTGATATTTTAACCCAGGTTTTCTTGCATGGTACAAGGTGCATTCCAAAAGAGCAAAGAGTCATTTGAGACCTAGGATCTGGAACTCAATGTCTCCTTTGGCACTTGGTCAAGACAAGTTATAAGGTCAACCCAGGTTTAAGGCCATAGGAAAATAAACTCCACCTTTTGATTAAACAAGCTGCAAAATATCACATCCCACATATTTGCATGGCTCAGTTCCTTCATGTTTGCTCAAATATCACCTTATCAATGAGGCCATGATTACATATTAAGTAACTACCCTTCCCTCATCTTGGCACTTAAATATCCCACACTTTATTTTAGAACCTCTCACCACCTGGCATTGCATATTTACTTGTTTCTTTGTTATTGTCTCTTTCCCACTATAGTGCAAACTCCATGAAGGTAGAAACTTCTGTTCGGTTCACTACTATACCCTGGCATCTTGAACACTGCCTTGTACATAGTAGGCACTCAATCAATATCTGTTGAATGAATTATCTTATTCAAATAAGCATGTACCATAAAATAATAAAGAATCTGAAATATCTAAAAAAGGATAACAAATTTATGCACTTAAGTGCTAGTAACTTTATATATTCGATTTATTCTGTGATTTTAAACAAAACATTTTCTTACACTTCAGTGTGTCCATCAATAAAGACTTTAGTCACATGTCTCTGTTTCTTGGTTATAATGAGGATGTTTTAAAACAGTACTTTAAATTCCTTATGCATAAAAAGTTTCTGCAGGGTCTGGAATATGCACAGTCTTGGTAGCTTACCAGCCTGGTACCAAATATGAAAATGCAAGATTTAACTGCATAATAATAATGTAAGATAGTTATGATTAATAGTGTCATCCAAGTTTTGCCTAGGCTAGTGTCTGCTAAGCTTCTTTATCATTTCTTCAGTAGAATGTAGGGGAAAAAACGTTTTTTTATTTGTTATTTATTTTTATCCTTACCCGAGGACATTTTTGCATTTATCTTCAGATAGAGCAGGAGGGAGGGAGGGAGGAAGAGAGAGAGAAAAACACCAATGCGAGAGACACACATCGACTGGTTGCCACCCACATGACCCCAACCTGGGCCGGGGACAAACTGCAACCAAGTTACGTGCCCTTAGAGGGAACCGAACCTGGGTCTCTCTGGTCCAAGGGTCGATGCTCTAACTGCTGAGCCAAACCGGGCAGGGCAAAAAAAAGTTTTTTTAAAAAGCTATCTTGTCAACCTATATTAAGTCTGAATTGAATTGAGAAAAATTCTAAATTCAAAACACATCAGAAAAAACAATTTATCAGACATGTGTGTATAAAAATGCTCTGACTCCATTCCTAAATCTACTCAACAGAAACGGAATGAATGAATGCTATAGAGAGAAGATACATGCTGGAGGAGACATCAGTACTGGAACCACTGTCACCATCCCAATAAACTCAAGGCACTGTTATCAGGTCTAAACTATTTTTACCTCTAATGTGGGGAATGTGATTACTTACCTATTAAAAATTCTCACTATTTTATGTACTAGAATAATAAAACCAGAGGTGTCTGGCCAGATGGCTTGGTTAGAGCATTGTCTAACCAAAAAAAAAAAGGTTGTGGGTTCAATTCCCAGTCCAGGAGCACAGGGGAGGCAACAATCGATGTTTCTCTCTCACATCAATGTTTCTTTCTCTCTCTTTCTAAAAAAAGTAAATAAATAAACTTTTTATAAAAATAAAAAATAAAGCCAGAGGCAATAATGTAAATGAGTCAGCTAGTTCAAACAAAAATATTTTTTCTCAGAGAAACTGGGGGGGGGGGGGGGGTGAAGGTTAGGAATGGAAAGGAGACCACTTTTAGGATTTTTTTTTTAAACACATGCACGTAATACCTCTAAAGAAAAATTAAAAAACAAAAACATCAATACAATAAAAAAAATAAGATTTTAATTCCCTCTATGCTCTAGACAGAGTAAATAAATATGAAAGGCAGTTTTCATAAATGCACTTTATATAAACTGGTACATGTAACCAAAGGAAAAATGAGAATAAAATAATAAATATTTTATGTGTATGTGCTTGTGCTTATGTATCTGTATGTTATGGTCCATGTGGAAACTACTGCCTCTCTGCAGACTGACAAGACAGGAGGATATCATCTAATTTCAGAAGACAGTTTGATTTAATAATACATTATTTTAGGCAGAAGAAAGTAGAAAATAGCACACAAAACTTGCTGACTTAAAACAAGTTTTTAAAAAACAAGTAAATAAAAGTTTTGTTATTTTTAAAACAAATAAAACCCCCAGGATTCATTTTACTTATACCACATGAATTCAGAGATAAGACTGAAGCAATTACTCACACATACTTTTTACTCATGAGTTTTTGATAAACTTTTTTTTTAAACCCTCACCTGAGGATATTTTTCCATTTATCTTCAGATAGAGTGGGAGGGAGGGAGACAGTGAGAGAGGGAAGGGGAGAGAGACAGAGAGAAGGAGAGGGAGAGAGAGAGACACATCAACTGGCTGCCTCCCGTATGACCCAGACCAGAGCCAGGGACCAAGCCACAACTGAGGTACATGCCCTTGACCAAATCGAACCTATGACTCTTTGGTCTTAAGGCCAATGCTCTAACCGCTGAGCCAAACCGGCCAGGGCAGTTGTTGATAAACTATTACCGTTGTTTCTGATATACTTCCTACTCGGATCTCTTCCATGTACCTGAGTTAAATTCTGACTCTAAGCCACTAGAGTGGTGAACAAACTTTAGTGTAATAAATGTTAACTAATCAAAATTGTTGCAATAGCCAAACCCTAAACATTAAAGATTTCTTTCATACAACAGAAAAAGACTAGGTAGTTTTGATTTGACTCCCAGCATTGGGAAAATTCTCATTCAAGGAAAGGAATTGTTCTCTTCTGCATTTGAAATAGAAACATTGCTATTATAAAATTTTGATGAATCAAATAGCTGCAAGAAAGAAAAAGATATACATTCAGAATTCTAATGGTAGTAAATAGGAAGGGATTAATTTAAAAAGCCAGGAAACTCAACTTCTCGTCTGAGCACTTCCACGAGCTAGTTGTATGACCCTGGTCAACTCATTCAATCTCTCTAGTACAAATTCTTTCATTTGGAAAACAAGAGGGAAATTAGATGAGGAGATTTTTAAGATTCTACCAAGTTAAAATAAAAAAAAAACACCCACAATTTTATATTATTGGTAGCATGTCAATCATTACAGGCCTTTGACCCTGAAAGTTTTCTTCTAAGAATTATCCCATAAATGTAGTGGCACATGTGATCAAAAATATGTGTATCTGGTCAAGAATGTTCACTGACAGCATTATTTGTATTAGCAAAAGGCCTGTGGAAAAATAGTTCAATGTTCAATAGAAAGCTAGTTAAAGAAACTGTAGCATATCTACACAATGGAATACTATGAAGCCATTTAAAAAACTGGGCAAGTAATATAAAACAATCTCCAAAATACATGGTTATGTAAATAAAGCATTGCACAGAATGATGTAATAGTGTTTTCATTTTGGTATTTAAAAAGGGGGATAATAACATACGCACAAACACACAGATATATATGTGTATATATATATATATAATATGTGTATATGTACATAAGCATATACACATATACATTTTTATTTATTCAAAGAATATTTCTAATGAGTACTCAAGAAACTGGTAGTTGTTACTTCTGGGAAGGGAACTAGCAGTTTAAGGCAGAAAAAAGATTTTTTTCATTATAAGCCATATCTTTTACTGTCTGATTTTATCATATGTAACGTTTTTACTAAATAAAGGAAAAATATCCACAAAATTTTTGTTTAAAAACTTATATTTCCCACACTTTAAATTTCCCAAATCACATTATTTACCAAATATGTGTCTTCTCTGACAAGAGATTATTATTTACTCATAATTACCTTGAAAAGCCTAGGAAACACATCTGCTGGTTGTCCACGAATCACAAACAGACGAGAGTTTAATTTTCGCAGATTAGCATCGAGGTCTTCAAGACATTGAAGCAAAAATCTAGGGAGAGGATAATATATTAAAATTATTCAAAATATATATTTAGAAGATATAAAATATTAAAAAATCATGTTATTATAAAAGTTGAAATGCAAAATCCATCATCTAATTATTACTTATCATCTTATTATCTCTAATTGACATATAAATTACTATTTCTAGAAGCTCTGGCTGGTTTGACTCAGTGGTTAGAGCATTGGCCTGTGGACCAAAGGGTCTTGAATTTGATTTCCAGTCAAGGAAATGTACCTGGGGTGCAGGTTCAATCCCCCCGGGGTCATGCAGGAGGCAACCAATCAGTGTGTCTCTCTGACATTGATCTTTCTTTTCCCCCACCTTCCCCTATCTAAAAATCAATGGAAGAATATTCTGGGGTGAAGATTAACCAAAAAATAAAAATAAATAAATAATCACACAAATTTCTTAGTATTTTAATGAAGTTCCTAAATTAAATCACTATCTTTCATTAAATAACAGTGACCGTTAGCAAAAATTTAATTTGTAAATATAAAGATTATATAAAGAAATTAATTGATTTCATTGTTTAAATTTGATGAAATGAATTCAAGTTCACATAGAAAAATCAACCTGAAAAACCTAGAGCATCTTCTCCTGGAAGAAAATGGCAACATCCTATTTAATCACTCTGAAGAAAATGATAATTTAAGAATTTGAGCATGTTATTGGGGGATAGTGTAATTACCTAAGAGAGAAATAACAATGCTCATTTTCAAGTTTCTAATCTAATTATGAAAAAATTAGAGACACACCAACTGGTTCCTACCCACATGACCCAGGGCGAGGACAGACTGCAACCGAGGTACGTGGCCTTAGTAGGAACCGAACCCAGGTCTCTCTGGTCCACAGGTCGATGCTCTAACCACTGAGCAAAACCGGCCAGGGCTCTTGAGTCATTCTTAAACAAATAGGAAACAAACCTTTGTATCCTCACATTTATATTGCACCATACCTCTTTTCTGTCTTGGTTTATAGTTACCTCCCTAACACCCATCTCCACTCTATCCCACCCCACCACTACCAATGTGAAAATACTTTGCAGGGAAAGATTACTGTTGTTATAGCAATATAAAAGTACTTGAGTTTTGTAAAATTATCTGTTACTATAAATAACTTACAATGTTTGGTGATAAATGTTTTTTGGGAAACATCTAGTTTGTGCATTTGCATGGCAAAAGAGTTTTTAGACACCAACAATCAGATCAAAATTAGAAAGTTGAAGGAACTAGCAATGTTTTTTTTTTTTTATCCTCACCTGAGGACATTTTTTTTTGATATTGTGTTCAGATACAGTGGGAGGGAGGGAGAGAGAGAGAGAATCATCGACATGAAAGGGACACATCGAGTGGTTGCCACCCACACGACCCAACCAGGGCCGGGGACAAACTGCAACCGAGATACGTGCCCTTAGCAGGAACGGAACCCGGGTCTCTCCAGACCTCAGGCCAACACTTTATCCGCTGAGCCAAACCGGGCAGGGCATGTTAAGTTTTCTTAAATTTAAATGGTACAAGACTAAAATGTCCTGGGAGGATAATTCAAGGCAGAGATAATTCTTAAATCTCTTTTGTACCATTAGTTTTCAGTATCTTCTCTACCAGAGCTGGTAGTATATAGCAAGAGTTCTCCTTATTCAACTTTTTGGTGGAAATATTTCTATGTGGTATAAGCAGATCAATGATAGACTGTAAGATGAGAAAAGAAAAGAAAAAGGATCTGATTAATTTATAAAATGAATGTCTCAATTAATAATTAGCCCTTTATTTTTCCTTTCTTGTTCAGAATCTGAATAATCATTGTTAATGTTTTTCAATAAACACCCTATGAAACAAACACTGTACAAAATGACCTGGACGACCCAATGAGTTATAATAGAAAAAGTTTCACAACCAAAGAAATAATTTTGTTTTGACACTTCATAAAACAAAGGAATAGAAAGGTATTTAAGTATGGTGTTTTTCTTCCACAAATGTTATTTTTAAAATTTTTATTTTCAATTACAGTTGACATTTAATACTATTTTGTATTAGTTTAAGGCCAATAGCACAGTTATTAAACAATTGTATAATTGATGAAGTAATTCCCCTGATAATTCAAGTACCCATATGGCATCATACATAGTGATTACAATATTATTGACTATAGTCTCAATGCTGTACTTTACATCCCCTCCACAGATGTTATTGATGGTGCTTTTCTTCTATGTATATTATCATTTACCTCACTGTAGTTTCACATAAAAATTGCAGAGGTACACTGCACTCAAATATAGATACTTTAAAAAAGAATATAATGCTTACTTTATACTCAAATATTTTAAATAAAAAAGACTTATGAAAAAAAGAAAAAGAACAGGATGTAGAATATTCAGTGATGCTGTCCTCTGTTATAAGGCTTTTTGCACTATGACTTTTAACACTATATGCAGATATCATTTTGATATAATAAAATTACATTGCATGTATCTGCTTATGTTATATGTACATAAGAAAAATAAATGGAAGTATCCTTATTCCAAGCTATTAACAATAGCTACTGTTGGGGAATGGGAGTTTGGGGGTGGGGTTGAAGAAAAAACATACTTTATTCCCACTGCACAGATTTCCCATAATTTAACAGGTCTAGCAATAAATTACTATCCTTTAATGTAACCTGGAAAGTTCTAATTTCCTCATCTGTAAAACTGGGATAGTAATAGGACTCATATCATACAGCACTGCTGTGAGACTTAAATAAATTAACATATGTGAAGCTCTTAGAACAGTGTTTGACCCATAGTAAACATGATTATATGTAATATCTATTATTTTTTGTTCTTTCCTTCCTACTACTTCTAATTTTGCTACAATAATTCTAGACATTGTTATCTCTTGCTGGTGTTATTTACTGCAATGCTTTAAAATAGATCTGCCTTCCAACAATCTCTCCACTCTAATCCGTTTTATACTCAACAGCAAATATTCCCGAGGCACACTTTCCTGTACAAAGATCATCGAAGAATCATTCCTATAGAATAAAGAACAACTTCTTTTCCTTGGCCACTAACAGGGTCCCAGGTTCATTTCCTACCACCCCTCTTTCCCTCCCACCAAACCAAACTACATCTCTTTTCAATCTCCTGGAATTTGCTCCATGCTTTTTTTTTTGACCTGGAATACCTTCCCCAATTCCCATTTCTTCAAGTTCATATCCTACTAATCTTCAGTCTTTCAGCTGCAAGTAATTTCTCTAGTCTCTAAACTGTCAAAGGACATAATGTACCTCATCCTAAAGAAACTTTCAGATTATACCTTATATTATAGCGCGCGCGTGCGCGCGCACACACACACACAACCACCTTCTCCTCATGAATTTCAAATAAAGTATCTGTGTCTCATTCCTAATTACAGTTTGCTAACATGTGTTTTGGTTTCTACATTTGGCAAACAAATCTCATCATGTGCCTTATACAATTGTTGAAAAGATTAGAAATAGGATAAAATGACCTATAGCGTTGTCTTGTACACTGTTGAGGATTATAAACAGCATAAAAATCTCACCAATCACCAGTACTTGGCAGAAATACATTAAGCAGATATGAAAATTATTCTCCTTTGATAATAATTTGTGTGTGTGTGTGTGTGTGTGTGTGTGTGTGTATTTTAGAGAAAGGGAGGGAGAGAGAGAAACATAGATGTGAGAAAAAAACAACCATCAGCTGCCTCCTGTACTCCTTCTGACTGGGTATTGAACCTGCCACCTTTGAGTGTACAGGACGGCGCTCCAACCAACTGGGCTACATTGGTCAGGACCATAATTTATAATTTTGAAAAAGGAACACGTATTTCTATATGCAAACGCTGGAAATGACAACAGAAGACAATGAATTAGTTTATATACATCTACATACAGAATCATCTTAAACTTATAACTTCCCCTGAATGTGACTTTGGACAAAGGTTCAATGAAAATCTTCCCAGTGACAAGGCAAATGTGAATATGAATATATATATAGCAAGACACAGTATAATTAAGATCCTGAATTAACTAATCTCTAAGCATATAATTCTTCCTTGATAATACCATAAAACAAAATCTCAAATATCTCAGGTTCAAAGTATCAACTTATAGACCGATAAGATTTCTTTTTCGTGCTGAACGAATGTTACTTGAAAGGGTGCTACATAAGTTTAAACTTTCATCCTCTATCCTCAGTTGGGAAGGGAGTGAGTTCTGTTAGAGTTCGGATTCAATGTGTTCCAGAGAATACACCAATTTACACCTTTATATATTATAAATGCATATGCCTTAGAACAGGCATCCAATATTGAATGCAATGATTTAATATACTGTATGTTGAAAATACAAAGGGCACACTTTTAACATGAATATTTTCAGACCTCCAATTTGGCACATTTACTGTTCTCTTGAAACTATAAACCTTTGAAGGCTCAGTTAATAATGCTATTAACTACATGCAAGAGGTTAGTTTTTAAATAGGCCTCAGGGTAGTAAAACTCACTTACATCCCTTTACATAATTGTATTGCCTACACAGAAGCACAGTTTTTATGTTATTTAATTATAACACTAACTGTACTACTTCAAAATAAATTGCAGAGGTGCTACGTGAGAAAATATTTCTTTACTTTCAACATTTTAAGGATTGTTTTTAACCTCCAGAGATCACAAGCTTACTGCTATTAGAAAAAAATACATGCAGTGAGTTTCCTTATACCATTTCCAAAAGATGATTTCAACATGAATCAACAGAAATTGTTTCTTAAAGTAGGTCACTGCTATAGCAACCAGTGGCGGTTTGGTAAACTCCCCGTCACAATGACCTACTTTCCAGCCTGAGATAGAACGGCTTTATATAACTAGAATTTCTAGTTCTGTCTATAAAACAATCTAAAAAAGGCAATAGTAGGATATAACACAATCTTTATGCTGTTCAAAATAAGGCATTATGAATTAACATGTATCATACCAGAATAAAGCCAT